GGTGTCGGGGCCGGGTGTCGAAACACCCCCTGCCTGTCACCTGCCAGGGCTTGTCTGGACATGCTGGGACTTGCCCTGCAATGAGCTCACCCTGATTGCGCGCTCTGGCTGCCAGCAGATAGGGAGCTGGGTGCTGGTTTTACTGGGGCGGTCAGTTTGCAGTGGGGTGACCCCGGGGACAAACTGTGCCCCCTCCCTGGGTGGTTACCTGTGTCTAGTAACACAGTGTAGGTGATCCAGAGGGGCTCGAGGGGCTGAATTTGGGCTGAAATCTCCCCCATGAGAGGATGAATACCCCAGCTCTGAGGAAGTTTTTGGGGTGCAAGCCCAGGGGTCTGTTGTGATCCCGTCTTTGGGGCTCCCAGGTTGGGTGGGCAATGAGGAAGCGAAGCTGCCTTGTCCCCGGGGCTTTTATCTCCGTGAATCTTCTTTATTTTTAAAGCAGATTTACTGAGGGTTTTCTGAGCGAGGTAAAACCTCTGCTCCGAAAGCCGCCAAATCCTGGAGCGTGGTTTGCTTTGCCCTGAGGTTCCCCATAACCACGGGCAGAGCAGGGGACCCATCACCCCCATGGGTGTGTAAGGGGGAGGACGGCTCGGAAGGAAAGGCTTTGGGCACCGATTTGAAACAAAACCCAACCAAACAGGGTCTTGTCTGGTTGCCCAACAGCTCCTTGCAGATACAGGGGGTGGTTAACGAAGCGGTCAAGCTTGTGGCGTGTTCTTGCAGTTGCTTAAAAGGCTGCTTTGCCACCAGACCTGGGTTCTGGTGATGAAGAAACCGGTCAGAAAAACATCCTGTTGCTTCACTTGCCGTGTGCCAACTCGCGCTGTGGCTGCGTGGGGACGCAGCGGGGTCGGGGATGGAGCCAGGGGCAGCGTCGGGGTCCTGGGTGCTCTGCCCTGGCCGGGCTTTCCTTGCTGGAGGAGGGATGGGAACATCCACACGTGCACCTTCCCCGTCCTCCTTCATGGCCCCAGGCTGTGTCTGACCCCAGCCATGCTCCAGCCTCCAGGACACCACTGAAATCCCAAATTTCTGAGGCCGGGATGAGCGCTGGCAGATGGAGGCCCCCTCTGGGCTACGTGCAGAGCCCAACCCAGCTTGTCCCACCTTGGCTATGGTTTGCTTTGCTCCGGTAGCCAATGTGCTGGCCCTTGGGCTCACTGGTGGCTTGCCCAGCACCCCAATAACTGGCTCTGCTTTCCTCGCAGCCACCACCATGCCCCTGTCCCACAGCAGGGCCGGGCAGCTGCCGTGCAGCAGCAAGGTCTGCAGGAACCTCTTTGGCCCCGTGGAGCACCAGCAGCTGGAGGAGGACTTGGCCAGTCTGGTGAGGCAACACCTGGAAGAAGCTCAGCAGCGCTGGAACTTCGACTTCGAGACGGAGACCCCCTTGGAAGGACCCTTCAAGTGGGAGAGGGTCTTCCTGGCCGAGCAGGAGGTCAAGGCCCCCGACAGCGAGAGCAGAAGCTCCTTGGTCCACGAGGTCTCCCCCAAGGACCGACTGGGGTCGCAGAGCTCGCAGGGTCACAGGGCTGGTTCACCACAGAGCCTGAAACGGGGGCAGAGCACCATCAAAGGTGAGGGCTGGGGGCCTGCTCGGTGTCATGGTAGGGACAGATCAAGGGGTGCAAGGGCCCTGCCTGGCTCCTGGGCATGGGGACCACCCTCCGTGCATCTCCTGAGAGAGCAGAGCTCATCTTCTCTGGAAAAGGCCGCAAATTTGGGTGCCTTTTGGTTGCTGGTGGTTAGGTGTGGGGGGTGATGTCGGGCTTGTGGGTCTTAGAGCTGAAGATGCCCCAAAATTGTTCATCAGCTTCACTTCCCATGGCCTGAGCCTGTCCTCTAAGGCCAAGGGCTGGGGTGGAGATGGAGGTGAGACCAAACAGAAGAGGTGGTGGCGACCTGCAGGCTCTTCTCTCCAGGCTTTGGGTGGGTGGAGTCCCCCTGCGCTGGGTTTTGGGGTGCTCCCTCCTCCTGCCCCACTGTTCCCAATGGGCTGGAGGCACTTTCCAACCCCTTTTCTTTCCACCTTCCAGATTTCTACAGCTCCAAGCGGAGGAACATCCCCGACAAGCCCAAGCCGTGACCTGGTGGTGCTCGGCTCCGATGCTGACGTGCCCGGGGGTGTCCGTGGCTCTTTCCCCCCCACCCTGTACTGTGTGAGCTGTCTGTACGAAGCAATGCAGAGTCTGTAGTTCCTTATTTATGAGTAGCTCTGGGGTCCTGAGTGACCTCCGCTGTGTGCAATGTAGAGGAGTAGCCCACGGTGAGGACTCAAAGGGGGCTGGTGGGACCGAGGCCCCGCTCGTTGCCTTCTGCCCTGTGTTGGTGGGGTCAAGCGTTGTCCTTGTCTCGTTCTTGATGGTCCTGATGGCTGCCCACGGGGGACACTCGAGTCCCAGCCACCTGGTGGCACCAGATACCCTCAAGAAAGGGCCATCGATGCAGATTGTAGAGCCCTGGGACACCCCAGTTGCTGGCGCATGGTGGTGGCTCCATCCTGGATGGCTCCAGCGCTGGCAAAGCCCTGGCCCATGCAATGCTGGGGCTGGAGGTCCCCAGCGCTGAGCTTGGGGACCCAACGCTGCCTTTGGGGTCCCCTGGACTCTGCTGACCCAAACCCTCACTTTTTCACCTCGGGGTTGGCTTTTTGAGGTGCTGTTTGCCCTCGTGTCCTCCAGCACTGATACCAGGCTGGGGAAGCTGCTCCGGCCACGTTGGGCTGCTCGAGGAAAGAAGGAGCCCCGCTCACCCGCAAGGATGGTCCTGAAAGAAGGAATTTAGCGTTTTGTTGTGTTTGGGTTTTGTTTGGGGCTTTTTTTTTTCCTGGACTTTTTCTCCTTTTGGGCTGAGGGAAGAGGAGGGACCCTCACTTGGCTCTGCAGAGCCGAGGGGGTTTCAGTCACCTCTGGGACCAAGGGATGTCCCGGAGCGAAGGCTGCTATGTCCCAGCGCTGAAGGATGAGTCCCTGCCCTTGAAGGACTCGACACTGTCAGGTCTCAGCACTTTTGTGGGGTTCAGCTCTGGCCCTGCTGGATTTGAACTCTGGAAACCGGTGCAAGATTGGTCCCAGGCAGAAAAGGATGGGGTCGTCCTCTGCCTTGCACCGCGATGCACTTTGCTGTCGGTGAAGCTGGCAAGCTCGCAGCACTAAATCTTTATTTATATTTAAAGAAAATTAATGCTATTAAGTTTACGTGGGGAGCAGGGAAGTTACCTGTTTGTCTACAGATGTTAACTCTGAATAAACACTTGTGGAAAGGACCGGGTGTCTCTGGGTTAATGGGAATAACTGGGTCTGGCTGTGGGGAGGAGGAGGAGGATGCTCTGGTGGGGTTTGGGGGTCACTTTGGGGGTGCAGCCCTGAGCTGGGGGCTGCCATAGCCCCTGCAGAAGCCACTGCCACCCCAGCAGGGTCTCATGGGGACCCCCATGTGAATGGAGGCTCCTCCACTGCCCATTGACTCCAGTCCCCTACTCCTGTGGGGCAGGTGGCCATGGGCAAACTGGACACGGTCCCCTCCTTTAAAGGGTCCCAGGTGTCCTGTGCTGTGAGACAGGGATGTGTTGGAGCACAGGGTGGCATTGCTGATGGAAACATGGACCAGTGCATCGAAGTGGGGCTGGGGCTGGAGCTGGGATCCTCGGGAGTCGGGGATGTCTCCAAGCGATGGTGAATGTGAGAAATAACCCCATTTGCAGAGGATCCAGGTGAAAACGAAGCTTTGATGGCAGCAACCTCGTGTCAACGTTCAACCAAGGGTCCCTGAAGCACCTGCCTGTCCCCATCGTGTTTGGTGGCACCCACACACGCCGGTGTCCCTTGAAATGCAGAGCACAACCATGCACCCCTTCAGCCAAGCCCCACAGATCCAGCCCTTGTAGGGCTTTAGGTCAGTGCTGCCAGCCCACTCGACCGCTGTCCCCTCTGTGTCACCTCCCCAGGAGCGGTGGCGATGGAGGGAGCAAGAGATAAACCAGAAAATCCCCCGTTGTCCCCGTTTTGGGGCTCTGAGGGCAGCCAGGGTCTGGCTCTGTTGTGAGAGGGGGCGCTTGGTGCCTGGCTGTGAGTTTAGGTCCCCCTGGGACCCCCTTTTCCAGATGGGGGGGCTGTGTCCCCCCAGCTTTGGGGGTGCAAAAGGGTAATGGGCTTCCAGCAGCTGCAGAATTGGGTGCAAACCTCACGCTTTCAGCCCAGGTTGGGGTTTGCTGCTCTCCCATCCCAGCCTGGCCACAGCACAAACCCCTGAGCTTCCCCCACTGGGTTTAGGGTTTTCTTTCCCCCATAAGCATCCTCGGGTAAAGCAAAGCAGCAGCGAACAGCCACAGGGGTGTGAGAAATGTGGGTTTGGAGGGGGTTTTGTGAGCAGAGCCTCCCAGTCTGGCTGTGGGGTTGCTCACATCTGGGGTTACTGGGACCAGTTTGCTCTGAGGACGGAGCAGAAGCAGCTGAGCCCTGACCTGGCCACAAAAAGCCCAAGGGAAGGGGCCACACCTGAGGTCGCTGCTGCTTCATTAGGGTAATCAGCAAATGAGCAGGGCTGGGCACTTCTGCAGCTGGTTCCCAGTAAGGGATTTAACTGGTTGGGATGGGGAGGGATGGGCAAGGCATCAGCTTCCCCCCCCCTATGGCTCCTGCTTTGTGCTGTGAGCCAGGGGATGTTAATTTTCACCATTAACCTGAAGATAATTGTTACTGTTTCCCTTTGTTATTAATTTAAGCTTTTTCTGCTCGAGACCTTTTCCCATTTTTGCAGTTGAACTGGAGCAAAACCACGTTTTTAGGTTTGTTCTGCCATTGGCAGGTGGTTATAACCTGTGGGTTATAACATAGGCTCATCTTTTGGGTTATTTGCACTCCTAAAATAACATTTGCTGTTTCTCTGATGCTTTCCCCCTGCCCCAAACTCCTTCCAACCTCGACCAAACCATCGCTAAGGAGGAAAGGCTGGGGATTGCTGCTGCGGTTCCCCATGGCATCCCTTGATTTGGGATCTGGGGGTGGATTTTGGGAAGGGGGAACGGTGACCCCCACCCCGCACCCCGCTCGCAAGGCAGCAAACAGGAAATGTGCGCGCGCCGGCGGTTGAGCGCAACCCGAAAACGGAAAATTGCCTTGGGCAAGTGAGAAAATGAGAGCTCGGGGCAGGTTCAACGCCCCCGGCGTGGGGCCAGCACCCCCCGTGGCACGGGGGGCCTCGTTGTCCCCTGCGCCCCACAACTGAGGGTCCCTCGGCACGCGGGGAAGGTGAGTTCTGCTGCTTCGGGGTGGGATAGCTCGCACATCGCCTTAAAAAATAGGAAAGTAAGAGGGTTTTTTGCTGTTGGTGAGTTGGGGATGGTTTTCTTGCTGCTCTCGGGGGGCTGTGGTGGGGTGTTTTGGAGGGGATGAAGGGCACCGGGTGTTGGTGATGTGTGGGGGGACCCTGCTCAACCGGGGCTGGGGGGTGTGCAGTTCCCATTCCAGCCCCCTGTGCTTGTTCTGTGGTGGGCCCAGCTCCTCCCTGGTAACTGGAAGCTTTTTAATGCCTTAAACAACCCCCCCGAGAGCCCCCGTTCCTGCTGTCCTGGAGACTGGGACCACCGCAAAGGTTTCTCCCCACCCCAGTGTCCTGTGGGACTCCAGCAGCTCCTCAAGACCCCCTTGCTTTAGGGGGCAGGGGATGTTTTTGGGGCCTATTCCCACATTTCTGGTGCATCCCAGGCTTTAACTGAATCGCTGTTTCACGTTGCGAAAGGAAAGGGGCAGAGGATGGAGCAGCCTGGGAGGGGGTCCCCAGGTTTGGAGCCGAAAGTGGGGCTGCAGCCGGCTCCAGCACATCCCCAGCTCTGCATCTCCTCTCTTGTGGTTTCCTCCGCTTGCTTTTTCGGCTTTGCCATGCACAGGGATGGTGGTGGCTGCTGGTGACGATGCCACCCATCCAGGATGGGCAGAGGGGAGCAGGATGGGGGGGGGTCTCAATCTCAGACTCCCCAAGTTGGGGTGAACATGCAGACGTGATGGAAACCTCCTCAAAACCTCACACGGCTCTGCCCGGGGGTGACTCATGGCTGTGAAAACTGGGGGAGGGATTTTTAAAGCTGCTGCTGAGCTCCAAAAAAGCAGATGGAGCCACCATGCTTTGCCCAGACCTCCAGCATCGCCTTGTCCAGTCCTTTACTGGTGTCACCTCCCTGGCTGTGTCACCTCCTTGGCTGTGTCACCTCCTGGGTGGCCCTTGAGCCACGGTGGTGCCCGTGCATCCTCCACAGCAGAGCATGAGGAGGTTTGGGATGGGTGCCTGACTGGTGGTAGGAGAAGATGCTCACCCAGTGGGCATGGTGAGCAGTGATGGAGGGGACAGTGAGCCATGGTGATGGGGACAATGAGCCATGGTGGTGCTGATGGCTGCTGCTCGCTGTGTGTCAAGACCAAGATAACATCTCAGCGCCTCTCTTCCTATTGCCAAACCTCGAGCCCTTTACACCAACCAAAATGAATTTCCAGCTCGGTCCTGCTCCGCCATCTCCCACCGCACCCAGAGCAGAGGTCCCTGGTGAGGAGCACCCATCGCTTTCCCCATCACCGCCACGGAGCTGGGAGCCATGGCCGAGCGCCGGGCGGGCGCCAAGGGGCGGCGCATGGGCTCCAGCCGGCGCAAGCAGCTGCGTGAGGGCTATGGGGGGGACCCAGCAACAGCCCCTGGCCCCAGCGAGGCACCAGCAACAGCCCCCAGCCCCAGTGAAACACCAGCAAGAGCCCCCGGTCCCACTGAGGGGCCGCTGTGGGCATCCGAAATCGTGCAGAGGGTGCAGGAGCTCTTCAGGGACAAGGACCAGGCGGGGTTCATCACCCGCTCGGACATGCAGGTAAGGGATGGGGGGGTTTTCTCAGGTTAAATGCCACCGGGGTGGCTGGGTGATGGGTAGGTTTGTGCCCTGGTTTGGTTTGTTTGCAGAAGTTGCAGCAGGAGGATTTCCCGTGCAGCACGGAGCAGCTGGAGCTCCTCTTCAATGGCTTGGACACTG